TGCAACCCAAAGGTCGTGATAGTAAAAATTACCATTTAGTTACAGAAAATTAGATTGGGATATTTGATATTTCATCTGAGGATTAAGCAGACATCTTTGGCTTTAGGGAGCTTGCTCCAGGGTGCTTTTCTCCCCTCCCCCAGAAAGTTTTTCTCTCCAACAGGCTTAAGGAACACTTTCATACAGAGTTTCCTAATGTCTGCTATATCAGCGATTCCCTAGACTTAATGGATTTTACAGACCAATAAAATAAAAAGGAGGGAGAGGATCTATGTAGGACTGTCAACTAAACAACTGTTACCACTATCCTTTTAGGAAAAAGGACATTTTGACCCCTAAAAGTAGTTAAAACATACTCTCAGAGTGAAAGAACAATTTCAGTTGAATAATTTTGTGAAAAACTCCCTACTATATCCATATACCTTTTAATCACTGTAGACCAGTGATAGCTTCATACCTGGGAACCACTGCCCTAGCATTTTTAAAGTAAGGGCACAGAAAGCCAAATTTAATTTGGGGTCCTTATGTTTTTAAGCTAGAATGAACCTGTAGTATACTCATGTCATGAACCTGGCTTGAAGACATTCTGTGTAATTTAGAGATTAGTATAATTATACACATACACACACACACACACACATACTTACATACATATATATATAGAGTGATTTGAGGTAAGGGAATACCATGTGATATTTTCTCTCTTTGATTTTCTAGGATAACTATGCTCTGATCATAAAGTTTTTAATTATATGCTGATAAGAGACTTTCTAGTTTTCCTTCCAGGTACATCCTGTCTGTTCCTAACTAGAGTGTAAACTCCTTAAGTGTAGCACCATGCTTCTCTTCCTTATCTCTTATGTACAAAGCCCCCACTGGCCTGGATAAATTCATGCTGGGTCACAGCAGGGCAGATCTGCCTTTAGATTATAGTTGCATCATTCCTTGTCAGTGGAAATGTACAATGTAAGGTATTTACTGCTCTTATTTTGTAAATATGTAAATCTTTTCCAGCTATTGACATTATTCACTTCTTATAACCCTATTTTTTATGGATATCACAGTTGTAGATTTCAGCTTAGCTGGTAACCAAGTGATTCAAAATGGTGGCTTAGCAAATTGTAAACTGATTGATGAGATTTTTGCTCCAGTGTCTCAGCACCAGATAGTTTCCCATAGCTTGTGGAGATGAACTGCTCTTAGGTCTGCCTGTGGGTGAGAGGAAGGGACATGCTTCTCAGCTTTTTGCCTTCCTTCTAGAAGCAGTACACACCTTCACAGTATCTGCAGTGTCCCCAAAAGAAAGTACGTTGCTATTCAGGGTTCTTCAAGAGTTACCCAGCATCCGATCATGTTTTGTTTTGGAGTATTAATAAATTTAGGTCTTTCATTGGTTTTGATTTTAAATTGGATTTATTTATTCATTTTGAGGGGGAGGGGAAGCTAGAATTCATAACCTTATAGCTTTGGATTTACCTAAAACTATACTAAGATGACATTCATATTTTAACTCTTTAAAGTTAGTATTGCTTTTAGAGAATATAGATATAGGTGACACTCAGAGATCTAAACAGTTTTAAGACTCCCCATACATTGTTTGCATTGAAGCTTTAGAATGGGCAGAGGTTGAAAGACTTGTATTTGAAGCCAGGTTGTGTTCGACAAACGGCACTGTCTTCAGCAAATCGCTAAAGTTCTCTGAGCCTCTGTTTCCCTATCTTTAAGATGGGTATAAATATGTACTTCACAGCCCTTTGGAAATTAAATAAGGTAATATATATGAAAATATTGTGAACTATGAAATATCACAGCAGCATATGGTATTATTATATGCTTTTAGCAATATATAAATAATCTACTTCTCAAATTCATTAAAGGTGGTTGGTTGTCTTTTTTTTCCTCTCTAATGGATGCTTTTACATTCCTTAAAACCTTGATGAAAAGACGCTCATTTATTAGGCCAACTTCTGTTTGTGTAGGCACAGTCATACTGTTGAAGGTTTCAGTTAGAACTTGCCATTAGAAATACAATGTGAATAAGGCCCAAACATGTTAGAGCAGAGTCACCCATTAATATGTATAAAATACATGGTATAATAAGGGACCCAGAGATGGCATTATTAGGCCCTAATATAATTTTACCCATTCACATTTCTGATTTGTACAAGGGGTTTCAACTTGCTTTGTAAAAACAACAGATATTGTTTTGCTTTTGTTTTTTGTTTTTCATTTGAAAAGACCTTTATAAGCATGAGTCTTAGATTTAAAGATTTTGCAATTCTTATATTTTGGGAGATGCTACAGTCTATACTGAGAATAACTTGGGAGTAGGATATAGGAAACTTGGGTTCCTGTGTGTTAAGTCTAGTAACTCTTTTTACCCTCAGATAATCTATATGATTAGGGGTCCGTTAGTCAATTCGCCTTGAATTGTTAAGTGAAATTGAGCATTGGTTTAATTAATTCTGGTTCCTTTAACTGCTCTTGATTCCCCAAATAGCAACAAGAGGATGTAGAAAGTCTTGTACTAACATGGTGCCTCTGACCCCTCCCTACCTTTATGGGTGCATGGGATCACTCCAGGGGAAAGCAGATAATTATCACTCCTTCTATCTTGAGAAGTATGAAATGAAACATGTATAACGGATTCAAAAATAATGAGTTTTCTCCTTTTGTAGGATCTAAGTTAGAGATTAGGATGACTAGATAATGCTAAGGAGCAATGACATGGCCAAAGAAGGAGAATATACTGATATGAACACAAGCATCCCTTTTCCTCCTTGGCCCCCCATATCCAAAGAAAAAGCTCTTTCTGAAATTCCTTACATGCACCCAAATGACACATACCTCAGCTAGACTGCCTGGGTTCTAATCTTGGTTCTCCTTGTTTCTCTTGAATGAATGACCTTGTACAAATTAATTATCTTCTCCATGTGTCAGTTTCCTCATCTGCAAAATGAGCATGACAGTGTTAGTACCTATCTCATAGGGTAGTTGTGGGGATTCAATCAATTATTTTTTAAAGCACAAACAGAGCTAGCACATAAGAGTATTACATAACATTAGTATTACCTTTCTAAAGATTAATGTACTGATGTATTTGGAGTCATTGAAAATGCTCCATTTCTAGGGTAAGAAGTTGAATTTTCCTGGCTCCAGTAATTTCAAATTTCATTTAGTAAAAACCAAAAAAAAAATAGCATGTTTTTTGAAATGTTCCACCTATTCCTGTAAAATCTATTAAGTTCTCTGGAGTGATCCACATCTGCCGTTAGCATAAAAGGAATTGTGCAATGTGGATACAGTGGAAGAATATTTTTCAGCCAGACCCAACAGGGACAATGATTCGTGGCAATCTGCCTGGTATTCCTGAGCAAATTATTACAAATATGAACATTCCAGATGTTAGTTACTTAAAAAGAAGTCAACAAATTTTTCAAGAAAAAAATAACTACGTCATATTCTATGCAACCAATGAATAAAAGGGAAAGAAAGAGATTTCATAAGTATTGTGTCATTTAAGACCATAAACATAGTATGATCCAGCAATCCCACTCCTGGGCATATATCCAGAGAGAACGCCAATTTGAAAAGATATATGCACCCAAATGTTCACAGCAGCACTATTTACAATAGCCAAGACATGGAAGCAACCCAAATGTCCACTGACAGATGACTGGCTAAAAAAGTTGTGGTATATACACACACAAACACATACACAATGGAATACTACTCAGCCATAAAAAGAATGAAATAATGCCATTTCCAACAACATAGATGGACCTAGACATTATTGTACTAAGTCAAAGACAAATATCATATGATATCACTTATATGTGGAATATAAAAAAATGACAGAAATGAACTTACTTACAAAACAGAGACTCACAGACATAGAAAATAAACTTGTGGTTACCAAAGGTTGGGGGGGGGCAGTTAAATTGGGATTTGCAGATACAAACTACCATATTCAGAAGATATAAACAACAAGGTCCTACTGTATAGCACAGGGAACTATATTCAATATCTTGTAATAACCTATAATGAAAAGGAATATATATATATATACACAAAACTGAATCACTATGGTGTACACCAGCAACTAACACAGCACTGTAAATCAACTATACTTCAATTTAAAAAAAGACCATAAACCCATTACTGCCCCCTTTTCATAGGGAAGCTATCTTTCTCGATGATAAGTTTAAAGGACATAGGGTGAATGATAGAAGTCTATAGTACTCAATCTTTTGTTATATTTTGATGTCTACTTTTCTTAAAATATTATTTTCTTAAAATATAATATAATATTATATATTATAACATTACTTAATATAATATTGTTCATTTTTTAGCACTGGACTTATCATCCTGTCATTCAATGATAAAGTCCTTCACTAGCTACTGAGATGGAGAGCACGGTTTGTAGACCCCCACCCCAAATGACTCTAGACAGTGGTTCTTTGTTTCTTATTGTTTTTCTGTCTTCTGTTGTCTTGTGAACTATCACAGTCCTCCACCGCCAGCAGCACTTCTGACTTGCTGTCTCTTATCTGCTGAGAAACTAGATAATCACACTTGTTAGAACTGTGTTTTTTTTAAAGTTCTCCCTTGTTAAAAACTTCAGCTTCTTTCCTTCTGTGCCCTAGAGTCTTGCTGTTCAAAGTGAGGCCTGCAGATCAGCACCATCGGCCTCACCTTATTGGAAATGCAGAATCTTGGGCCTCACTCCAGACTTACTAAATCAGAATCTGTGTTTTAACAAGATTCTCAGGTGATTCACGTGCACATTAAAATTTGAGAAGTTCCACTTTAGCAGATCGACTTTGTGACAGTTCGTTTTCCTATTTTGAGATCCATTTTTAGCTTACAAATCATGTCTTGCAGTGGTCGAAGTTATATAGCTGGCCGAACTATTTTACCTCTAGAAACAAGGGACGTTCAAGTGCATTCATGTTTGGTGATAGGTAATCAATAAGCATTTTATTTTTCTCCCCTAGGACATCCCTGGTGATCTTGGAAGAGTCCGTATCATGGAATCGATCTCTATGATGGGAAGCCCTAAGAGCCTTAGCGAAACTTTTTTGCCTAATGGCATGAATGGTATCAAAGATGCAAAGAAGGTCACTGTAGGTGTAATTGGAAGTGGAGATTTTGCCAAATCCCTGACCATTCGACTTATTAGATGTGGCTATCATGTGGTCATAGGAAGCAGAAATCCTAAATTTGCTTCTGAATTTTTTCCTCATGTAGTAGATGTCACTCACCATGAAGATGTTCTAGTAAAAACAAATATAATATTTGTTGCTATACATAGAGAACATTACACCTCCCTTTGGGACCTGAGACATCTGCTTGTGGGTAAAATCCTGATTGACGTGAGCAATAACATGAGGATAAATCAGTACCCAGAATCCAATGCTGAATATTTGGCTTCATTATTCCCGGACTCCTTGATTGTGAAAGGATTTAATGTTGTCTCAGCTTGGGCACTTCAGTTAGGACCTAAGGATGCCAGTCGGCAGGTATGTATTTTTAAATTTTATTCTTATTTATCTGGTATTTTGTATTTCAATAGTTAAACAAATATCATGCATTTTAAAACCAAATTCTGATGCTCTCTGACCATTATCATTTTGAAAACTATGTATGAGCTCCTGCAGATTCATGTCCCGACCTTATAAGGGCACATTGCTATTCTCAAAATGATGTGGAAAGCTGAGAGAATAACTTGAACTTTCCTGTCATAATCAGGCAATTCAAGAAAAAGGCTCAGCTGGCAGATGAATAATGGGCCATCTCCTTGCCTCCTCAAAAGCAGAAACAATCCCAAACGTGTCTTTTTTCTTTCCCTCTCTTCTTCCTGCCCTTCCTTTTATTCTCCCTTCTTCCTTCCTTGCAGCTATTTGGTAAACAGTATTCCATCACTGTATGAAATACTATTTAGTATGATCCTTAAGAAGAATGCTTTAGAGTTACCTTTTTATTTTACATGGATTATTCACAGAATTTTAAATCGTACAGTTTGTTTTATTTTAAGTGTAGATGGTAATCTGGGTGGGAAAGGTAGAAGCAGACTGGATTTCTCAGGTTCTCTTTTAATCTGAGTTTTATGCAGTTCAACCTGAGAATAAAGCAGATGAGGAGCTCCATCAATGCTTCTGTGGAACGAGAGCTCTTATAAGTAAACACATGAAACAGTGCACCTTAAGAATCTTTTAGAAGTGTGGTTATGCATGATAATGAAGTGTGATGATAAAATACTTTTATTATTTTGTCCATAAAGACGGTTGATTAGATGCCTTAGAAAATAAATTCAAGTATTAAATCACTGTATGCTGCATGTCAGAGTCATGATAACCATTCACTTTTCAAGTGTTTAATTTGGAAGACCTAGTAAAAGAGGATATACTTCCCTACTTTCCGAGAGGCTATTTCTGAATCTTTTTTTCTTTTGCATATCCACCAAGATTTAGCAGTGGATACAGACCAAGCAAATTAGAGATGAACCTGAATTTAATTCTTTGCCCATATTTATGATGATTTTAATTATTCAACAGAATAATTGTGGAACAGATTAAGTTCAGCATGAGCTACAGAAAGAGCTTCATTTGTATTTCATAGTCCTCGTGCCTTTATGAATGTCTGATTTATTCCTAAGGTTTATTATAAAATTTTATAATTTGTAGTTTTTCTCAATGAATTAAAAAAATGTTTAATTCACCATTGTCACACCTGTAATAAGTTGAGAATGCTTTTCCTTATTTCTTTGGTATATATTTCTTTACCTTCCCTGCTCCATTTTAGAAGCTCATGAACATTTGTATAATAGTATAGACTTTGTTATTCATCTGGCTAATGTGAGATAAAATTAAAAATCCACAGAGCTCTACATGCTCACCATTATGTAACCAGGTTTAGCAGGCAAGCATTTCAGTGTGGTCTGTTCCAGAGCCCTTATATAAACATCTTTCAGGGATATATTTAGGAATTTATTTTCCCTTAACATCGCTCAGAGATTTTGTAGCAATATTTTTCTAACTCTAGGTGAGGTACCTACCTATAAGTGATCGTGGCTCACTCCAGCAATGAACGTGGTGCTTGAAAATATTTGTTGAATTCTCAACTGTATTACAATAGCTAAGAGGTTTTGGTAGTTTGAAAACCCACCTTTACCCTCAGTGATCACGTCATTAGAGTTCCTATAGGGATAACACTTCTTAGAAAATGGCGGTGGCTTTACTACTTAAATTAACTAAGCCTTGTGATACCATTCCTCCCTCCTCCAGGTATACTATTCTCACTTAAAGATGAACTAATTTTATAATTTTGACCAATGAAATAATATACTGAGATTATCCATTTTTTTTCAGAGATACTTGGTGAATTGGTTTCTAAGCCGAAGGAAAATGTTATAAATAGTACAGCATAACAATTTAGAGGTTTTATTTGCAAATTCAGCCATCCAGAATCCATGCCCATCTCTTTACTGAAGAGCTGTTAAGGGGCGGTGTTTGCACTCCCCCTACTTGGCAGAATCACTGCAGTCCTAGAACTAAATACTTTTTCCAAAGCCTGAAGAGCCATCCCCACCCCATCCCTGCTGGAATGAGAGAGATGGAGGGGAGAGGGACATGGCCAGCAGCTCAAACTTCACCTTGACTTCAGGAGGGAAGACCTCACCTTGTCTGCTTAGAACCATGTGGTTTAGAAACCTTTCTTTCCTCCTGCCTCTGTTCCCCTGAGGACTTCTGATCTCATGTTCTGGCAGGTTTTTCTGCATTTTATTTTCACGCCATCAAAGGTAGGAAGGACTTTTGTTGTTTTTATGACACCATTTTAACCTATTAATAAATAGATTAATAGATTAATAGATGCTTTATCTCCTTAACATTTTGTATCACTCAAAGTCATCACAAGTGATGCTCCATGGACTATGTGGAGCGTGTGATTGTTACCATTGTTATAAACAACAACAGTGATGATGTGTCTTCTGTTTCTTCCCACAGGTTTATATATGCAGCAACAATATTCAAGCTAGACAACAGGTTATTGAACTTGCGCGTCAGTTGAATTTCATTCCCGTTGACTTGGGATCATTATCATCAGCCAGGGAGATTGAAAATTTACCCCTGCGACTGTTTACTCTTTGGAGAGGACCAGTGGTGGTAGCCATAAGCCTGGCCACATTTTTCTTTCTTTACTCCTTTGTCAGAGATGTGATACATCCATATGCTAGAAACCAGCAGAGTGACTTTTACAAGATTCCTATTGAGATTGTGAATAAAACCTTGCCCATAGTTGCCATTACTTTGCTGTCCCTAGTATACCTGGCAGGTCTTCTGGCAGCTGCTTATCAGCTTTATTATGGAACCAAATATAGGAGATTTCCACCTTGGTTAGAGACCTGGTTACAGTGTAGAAAGCAGCTTGGGTTACTAAGCTTTTTCTTCGCTTCGGTCCACGTTGCCTACAGCCTCTGCTTACCGATGAGAAGGTCAGAGAGATACTTGTTTCTCAACATGGCTTATCAGCAGGTATGGAACGTGCTTGATATTTATTTGATGCTAGTAAGACACTTGATTAGTGCAATTTGTAAAACGTAAGATGTAAAATAGTATAAACCTTTACATACCTTGTAACAGAAATTTTCGTATATTTTGGGAGGGGAAAGAATTGCTCTTTAAGCAGTGTTTCTGCATAAGAATTACATGGCTACTTTAGAATCATTTAGGGTAAAAGTTGCTACCATCTTTTTCTTCATAGAATAAAAGAGTAGTATAGAGTTGGTTTTTGTTTTCTTGTTTTTTAATGTTACTATTGTAATGATTACTTTCACCATCAGACAGTTAATTATTTTACAATTGGCGATGTTCCATGAAATAATAAAGCAGCTCTCAGTAAACATATACAGTAAAATTAGAATCAGTGAAAATATAAAACAGAATAGGAAGTCACGATCAGGAGACACACACAAGGCTTTTGTTATCAAAAAGCAGGAAAGATACTGGTTCTGCAGGTGAAGCTTTTCTAGCACTCAACTCTTCAAGAAAATCTCAGGGAGAGCTTCATGGAAGGGGCTTGATGATGAAGTAGACCATGATTTTCCTCAATAATTTCCATTTAGCAAATATAAGGGGTTTCACTGAAGCTCTTTGATGTAGCATTTCTTAGTGAAAGCTGAGGACAGTGCACCAAACAAATGTGAAAAAGCTTTTGCATTTTATAAGGAATCAAGGCATCATGGTTCAAGTATGTAGCATCCAGTACTTAAACTTGTTTCAACAATAAAACCTAAAATAATTTGAAAAAAAATTTACTAGATTGATGTCTTTAAGCCATTCTCTCTAAAAATAGCCACTTCTCTTAACTCAGTACGAGGCTCTGATATCTGCTTCACCAGCTTCCTCACCTCCCTCAAGTCTTTTCTTCAGTGTGTTGACACAAATAACCAGTAAACAATCAATAATAGGAATAGAAGACAGTTTTGTTTGCAGCAAACTGAGGAGGATAGCCTGAGAAACAGCCTCTTAGCAGCTCTGAGGGGATCTGCTCTGAAGATGTCAGGGAGGAGCCAGTTCATACATGAATTTTTTGGCTAGCTAATAAGTGTAGTCAAGCATACATCTTTGGTAAAGACTGCTACTAATCACAAAGAACCGATCTCTCAAGTTAATGATTTTAGTGCTTTTCTATATATAAGAAGGTGCAAGAATGGGGGTGGGGAGGGAGGGTTGTCACTGAAATTCTTCCTGAGGTGTGCATTTTAACTACCTAAGGGCACAGAAAGCCTCATCCTGGTTTTCTTTCTTCCTGAATCCCCCTAAGGGCCCTCTGTCAACTGACAATGGGGTGGGACAGAACCCTTTGTATAACTTGAAGGTGGGCAACATTCTTTTCTTTAATGGTTAAAGCAGATGTACAACATATGTTTGGCAGGCCATAGACAGGCTGTTCTAGTCAGCATAAAGTTCAAGCCAAATCATGTATGAACCAGAATGACTTCCCATACCTCAATATGAAAGTTTGTTCCATCAAGTTATAACCTCCTCAACGAGGCCTTCATTGGACACTGTTTTAAATTCTGCCGCCTTCTGACTCAGCCCTGGTACTCCCAGTCCCTCTTACTTCCCCTGCTCTACCTTCTCTTTGCTCAACAGTGCTTACCACCTTCTAACACACTTTATGTTCTTTGTTTATTATATTTACTGTTGTCTGCCTTCTCTTATCAGAATTTAAGAGAAAGGATTTTTGCCTGTTTTGTTCATTGATATATGTCAAATGCCTGGCACTGTGCTGACACAGAGTAGACACTCATAACACATATTTATGCAATGAAGGGATGACTTGGGAAGGCAGGTAGATAGATCCAGGTTGTAATCTCTGGGTATACTGGGGTATGCTGTTATCCTGTATTGTTGTATAGACATCAGACAAGATAATAAGAGCCTTTTTCCACAGAGGAGCTCTGTGGCTCTTTTCAGGATGTTGGTATGATTGCTTCAGGGAACTAATGGCTAAGAAATAGCTTTTATCTTGGTTTTAATTTCAGTATGTTTGGTTAACGGAAATTGGATAAAAAGTTAAGCTGATGTTAAGTTAAAATCTGTTTTCCATGTATAGATTATTTAAATCAAAGCTTTAATCTTAGGAAATCCAACTTTTGATTTATACTCTAATTATATTGTTTGCATGTAAATAGATAATTCTAAAGGTAGTCCCTCTGCAGAATATCGCACATTCAGAGTTAACCAAGTCTGACATGCTTACATATGCATTATCAATGTAAGGGGAAGACATCTGGAAAAGTACTGTACAGGAATGAGGCAACTGGACAACTGGAAAAGTATATTAATGAGGCAACTCACATGAATAAATGTTTGAGCTCTGTAGGGCTTTATCCCAGGGGAAATCCCAGCTTCCTGGGGAAAAGAAGGTAAGAAGGACAGTAAATCAGCATGTAAATGTTCTTCATATGACAAAGGAAGATAAGGATATATTTTAGGAATTCCCTGCCTGGATTCTCAGTTGAACTAAGGCCAGAATGTACTCAAAGTATTCAACCAAGTTTAAATCAACTTGTAAAAGTACCTGAAAACTAAGCCTAACTTCTTTTGTATCACAGTCCCGGGACTCCAGAGTCCCTGTCACCGTGATGTATTAGAAATGTGACGTCAGATTTACCACTCTTCTCCCGTTTGTGAGGAAGGAGAGAGTCTTAGTCCTCTTCTCAACTCCCCTTTCTCTCCCTTCCACCCCCCACACCTGGGAGAGTACTATCCAGTAATAGGTTCTTCATAACAATTTGTTAAATTGAATTAGGGCAACTTAAATATGACCATATATGACGTAATCTTAGGTCGAGAGTGAACTCTGCTGAATCAGTTAATGTTTACCAAATAAAGGAAATTCATGTTTGCTTTTTTGTTAGGTTCATGCAAATATTGAAAACTCTTGGAACGAGGAGGAAGTTTGGAGGATTGAAATGTATATCTCCTTTGGCATAATGAGCCTTGGCTTGCTTTCCCTCCTGGCTGTCACCTCCATCCCTTCAGTGAGCAATGCTTTAAACTGGAGGGAATTCAGTTTTATTCAGGTACGTAGGGTTTGTTTGGTTAAGGATGGGTGGTGTAGAATTTAATTACAGTTAAGTAAAGTTGAACTTTAAATATGCTTCTTATAATAGAGTGCTCTGGGGCTGCTGTTTATGTTTCTAGCTTGTGGAACACATTGCTAGGACTTATTTTGGTTAGTAAGTGAAACACCTTAGGACTCTTGGTTAGTAAGTGAAAGACCAGTACAAGATTCTACTGGAGGGCTTTGATAGCACTTCCTACCATGTTACAGATAAAGGCTATTTTAAAAAGGAAAAAAAAAATGAAAGTGGGGGATGAGTGAGCTTAGACCAAGTTTAATACCAAAATCAATTTATTATTAGTCAAATGAATGAAGACTTATTTTATATTTTGAGTCATCTTGATCTATCTAGAAAAATCTCATTAATTGTAAATCAAGTGGAGAGATGCTCAATTTGAATATTTTAAAAGAAACGTGCATACATACACAAATACAAATAGTAGCAAAACTAGGTTGATGGACTATGACAAGCAGACAGCCTTATGAATTATGTTAGTATATGTATTTGGTATATCAGTTGTATGCATATGTATATGTGTCTATAAAGGGGTTTCAAAATAACATGTTCTTTAAAAAGTTAAACATTCACTTTCTCCAATAATAGCTACTTAATAAATTTGCGTATTTTAAAAATATAACTCAAACTTAGACTCTACCTATATTATTACAAAATCAGTACTGGTTATATCCAAATAGTTCATAGCCCAATATGCAGATAAGTGTCATTTGGTAGTACACTAAGTTTTAGCTTTGTTTTTTTTTTTTGCCTATTCACTTGAGTTTTTTTAAATATAAGTGATCTAAAAATCTCATTCAAATTAACAGCATATCCCTGGTCTAAATTCATTTTTCCTTTTTGAAGGAAAGAAAATGTGAATACTTTCCCAACTGCTAGTTTAATGACATCTGAAAAGAAATAGAAAGCCCTCTGATAAAAGGTGCTAGACGGGTGCAAAGTATCATTATAAATTTAGATGAGACATTGCAAACAGAACAGTTTTCTGCTAGAGAGTTGATCCTTTCCCAGTGAAGTTAGACATTACATTATTATGCTGATGTAATATAACATTTTATGTAACATGACCATTTCTCAAATAAGCAATCAAACATAATGTAGGGAACCCAAAGCAGCTGACCTTTTAGATTTTGATTTGTAAACTGCTTAACAAAGTACTCTTAATAATCTCAATATGGTCAATATGGCCATGTGTTTGAAATGCTATTTATATTATGTATTAATACTATATTTACCATAATTATCTTCAACTAGTATGTGTGTGTATACCCATGAAAATGCTCTTCAGCATTTAATGTATTATGTACGTAATGTGTGTAAATGTATATACATGTATATGTACATGTACATACACAGACTTTTTAAAAATATACACAACTGGTGGAGGTGTGGGTAACTTTTATAAAAAAGTTTTTCAGTTTTTATCAGTATGCTTAAGGAAAAGCCAGATGTTTTGACCTGCAATCCCACTATTAGAAATAAGTTCTAAGGAAATAAACCAAAATATAGAAAAAGGCTTAAAGTGACATTATAGTTGAGGAAAGTAGGAAACAGAGTAAATCATCAACAAAAAGGAATGGTTAGGTAAATTATGGTACATCCATTCAGTAGAATATATAGCATTAAAATCATATTTTCATATTTAATGACACGAGGAAAAGGTTCTGAATATGATAAATAATCAAAATATTAAACTGTATGCAATATGGCCTTATTTGTGTAAAATAAAGTGCATATAAATTTATAAGAAATATATGAAAATATTATAATTGTTTAATTCAGTAAAGAACAAAGAGTAGCTCAATAATTTAAGATAAAATTGTGTTATCAAAACATAAACACAGTATAGCTGGATGGGTTAATTTATGAGTTTGAATGATTTGCTTCTTATTCTTTCTTTCCTTTTCTTCCTTCCTTAACCCAAGTCGACACTTGGCTATGTGGCTCTGCTCATAAGTACTTTCCATGTTGTAATTTATGGATGGAAACGAGCTTTTGAAGAAGAGTACTACCGGTTTTACACACCACCAAACTTTGTTCTTGCTCTTGTTTTGCCCTCAATTGTAATTCTGGGTAAGATCATTTTACTCCTTCCATGTATAAGCCGAAAGCTAAAGAGAATTAAAAAAGGCTGGGAAAAGAGCCAATTTCTAGAAGAAGGTATTGGAGGAGCAGTTCCTCATCTCTCACCAGAGAGGGTTACAGTAATGTGATGATAAATGGTGCTCGCTGATGCCATGTAAATTTCTGTTTATGCCATTCTTTTTGACTTCTTTTATCTTCACTTGGAAGGGCACTGTCAAATTGCTGTGGGCCGAAACCGGTTCAGTGAGATCTCAACTGAATTAGTAGTAGAATTTTCTTCAGATTTATTTTCACAAATGTCCTATTTTACCAACATGAATTTTTATAGTCATCTTACTGTTGAAATGTAGGTATGTTTTGTTTTCTTTTGGACAACCATGATACTATTGTTATTTTAACAAACTATATTCCATAATCAGGCAGAAATATTTATAGTTAACAATATGGATACAACATAATGTTAAAAAACTTTGCAAACCAGCAGAATTTTAAGTTTTAATATAATCCAATGGATTTTTTTTTCTGAAGCTTAAGTAAGGTTTTAATTGTTATCCAACTTAAGAAACAGGAATGCATAATCATCCATTATTTTTAAGAAAAGCACACATTACATTAGCATCTAGGTAAGGATGCATGGTAACATCCCCAGATTTCTTTCATAAGATAGGGTTTGAAAAATGTAATTTACTGTGAATCAATGTGATTTGTGAACAAACACAACTTAAAGAGACAACTGAACTTGAAATTATATTTAAAATGCATCAGAGACATGAAATACATACTGATAATGTGTGCCTCATGAAAGATTTTATTCTTTATCTTGTTACAGAGAAGTTTTATTTGCATGTTCATAAGCTGATCAGGGAGAAGACAGTAATATATGGCCTCCAAAACGGCTTTTCCTAATACATTAACAATCCTAGGAATCTTACAGTTGTTTCTGGTTTGAGGGAAAGTGTTCAGTTTACACACGAGTAGCTGTTTGTCAGCTGATCTATGTTGCTGCACCTTAGTCAGTCATGCTCTGTATGGTGGAGGATTTTTCTAACATTCACTGAGGGATTATAACATGCCAGGCACTGTTCTAAGCACTTTATTTGTATTATCCCATTTAGTACTTCCAATAACGCCATGACAGAGGCAGTTATCCTCCTTTTACATATAAGAAAACTGAAGGATAGAAAAGTTAAGTAATTTGTCCAAGGTCATGCAGTTAGTGAGTGACAGAGCCAGCATTCAAGTCCAGACAGTCACATTTTAGAGGCTACAGTTTCAACCACGAGGCTGTGTGGCCCCTGCCCCATCCCCATGCCTACCTATCTAGATGATCCCTCTTTTGTGTAAAGACATTGACATTCTTTACAGTGTGTTGGTGGTGTCAAAATATATATGAAATTATTATAATCATAAATTTATTATTGTGGGATAATCCACACTTACCATGAGAGAGGATCTTGCCTGGGACAGGACTCTGGAGACCCATGGCAGTCCATACACCTCCCTCTGGCAGTGAGGGACTCCAGCAGAGATAGGACCATAATAGTTTTAATGAATGAATGGCTGAGGTCCTATGGAATCTTAAAAAGTCCCTGTAGAGTTGGTTATCTCTTTTCCTCTTTCTGAGAAGTCCTCCTGCCTGCTCAGCCATTCATTAGGGAGCACGCTGCAAGCATGAAGGATATTTGGATGAGTGTTTAATTATAAATCTACTCTAGAGACACATAATCATATAAATTATTCATAAAATTTTCACTGCTGACATTCCACATTAAAATTGCATTCTGTCCATACTTTGGTTAGAATGCCCTACATTTTTTTTCCATTTGCTCTTCCCTTATTAAAACTAGAAAGTTGAAGACAGGATACAATTATATGCATTCCTTTCCTGAAATTACAACATTTCTAAACTTACCCACTTAAGGTAGTGCTGAATCCAGCTGCCAAAAATAAAAGAACTATACTTAGTGGAGGCCACCTTTCCTACCAGTGGCTCTTTCACTATCACTGCATCATGTTGGTTTGGTAAATCACTCATGATTCTCTGATGTTCTCTTCTTGGTGAATTTTAATATCTTGTACTTTTTAATTGAGTTTTTCATTTTCTTTGTTTTAATTATATTCTTTCCCTCTTAAGAATCACTTGTTAGTGTGCAATAAGGATTCAGTTGGGTGATAACTTAAAGGCAAACACCTATAAACTATATAGTGGACTAGTGAAATTAGCAGTTTAATACTTTGTTCCTTAAGTTCCACTCCCTTAAGCTCATGCTTTCACCAGTTAATGTGAAAATACAATGAAATACTTTTAAAAGTTAGATGACTGCTGAACTATATTGTTGCATGTATGTATTAGTTAGCCAATAGTATAAATACAGTTATCAGTATTACAGATAAAAGGGGCCTTTGAAGATATGAGAAAACAGAGTTTATCAAAATGTATATGACATGTAGCTTTTGTTATAAATGGTAATATCTCCTTTTCAGTACTACAAAGATGAAATAATTTTGAAGTTTTAGAATAGACATAATATATTCATTATAATTCTAAATGTATAAAAGTCCTTCTAAAAATGCAAAAATATTGACTTTTAATTGCTTGACTTAAATGACTTTTTATTGCTTTATTTTACTATTTCCTACCTGATTATTTTCCTTAATCATTATTTCTCATAATTATCCCTTTAAAATCATCACTTTGGCCTCAGAAGTAGGACTGTATTCTGCTCTTACTAGATGTGAGAAAGTAGTGAGAAATTTAAAGTATTGGGATTTGTTTCCTAAATTGTATTTGGAGAAGTGCCCCTGAGAAGATTATAAGAATGTAGAAAATACATCCAGTCTTAATCCTATGCAAAAAAATTAAGTAGTTTTTTTCCTAAAAGGAAGTTAATCATGGACTGAATCATACTACTTAGCTTTTGTGTACCGATTTCATGTCTCCTGTATTAAGAATATTTAAAATCATGTTTAAATAAGAATATATTCATGCTAACATATATTTTTCAAAGCATATATGGAAATTAGCCTAGATTATCTACATGTAGAGATTTTTATTTAAATTTTACAATATTTTAAAGTATGAATAAATTATATTTATAGGTGTTTATCAGAGATAATTATTTTGTGCTACGTATGGAATTGGTTAATGAGCTAGTGTTAAATTACCTGATTAATTTCTTATAAATTAGCATAATCTTGAGTTAAGGAATTTTACTTTCAAAATTAATTTGATAATAGTAACTTAATGTATGTTCATCCTAACAATCAAATTATAAAAATTATTTGTGTAAAAGGGCTTCAAGAATATATCATATCCAATTTTTATATTGTTTACCTCTTATATAATATGATAAATCTTAATTATTTTAATTGCCATTTGCCATTAAACTATTTCATAATAAATTCTGTACAGAGAGTTCTCCCCTCAAAGGTTTTATTTGTGAAACCTAAAGTTTCTTATGTAATGTTTTAAATAAAGTACCGTAAGTGTAATCCGTAAATCCTTCTTTAAGAATACTATGGACACTGAACTTGTGTCAGTCTATGAAATCTCTGTATTGAAATAAGCATTTAAACAGCCTCAAATGTCATGTTGAAATTATTTTGTATATTCATGACTTAAAGCAGTGCAACACATAGTATAATATACCCCAGTCTAGTGTTAAGATTTATATTTGTGATGTATTGTCTTCAAAATTAGATGCTCCATCCTCAGTTGTTCATAAGTCAGTAGAGCAAATTCTGGAACATATTCAGTATATGAAATTGCTCTAAATGAAACTGTAATAATATTAGTGGAAACACAATTTGTTCATACCTTTGAACAGTGAATTTTATATTAATGAATAGGTTCTTCCATTTTTTTTAATGCAGGAAAACTATAAAGTGCTAATATTCAGAGATTCTGTTGATACAATACCAAAAAATGTTTTGTTCAGCCTAACATATGTATCCCACCCCTCACCATGGTTTCACTTTCATTGATTTCAGTTATAGTCAACCATGGTCTGAAAATATTAAATGGAAAATTCAGAAATAAACAATTCATGACATTTTAAATTGTGTGCCATTCTGAGTAGCATGGTGAAATCTCGGGCCTTCCCTCTCCATCCTGCCCAGGACATGAATCATCCCTTTGTTCGGTGTTTCCTTCCCATTCATCACTTAGTATCCATCTCAGTTACCAGATCCACTCTTCAGGTATCCTAGTGCTTATAACCTTTATTTTACTTAATAATAGCCCCAGAGTGCAAGAGTAGTGACACTAGAAATTCGGATTTGACAAAGAAGTTGTTAAGTACTCCCTCTAAGTGAAAAGGTGGACATTTTCAACTTAATAAGGAAAGAAAAAAATCATATGCTGAGGCTGGTAAGATACGCAGTAAGAATGAATCTTCTATCCATGAAATTGTGAAGAAGGAAAAAGAAATTCTTCACAAATTCTGTTGCACCTCAAACTGCAAAAGTTACTGCTACAGTGCATGACAAGTGCTTAGTCATGCACTGTGGAAAAGGTATTAAATATGTACAATAAGATATTTTGAGAGAGACCACATTCACAGTATACTGTTATTATTTTTCTATTTTATTATTAATTATTGCTGTTAATCTTTTACTGTGCCTAACTTAAAAATTAAACTTAATCACAGGTATGTGTGTATAGGGAAAAACATAGTATATATCAAGTTTGCTACTATCTGCAGTTCCAGGCATCCACTGGGGGTCTTGGAACATATCCCCTGCGGATAAGGGGAGATTACTACACTGAGATTTTTTAACTTTCCGAATCATTGGATTAACATCATGCAGTCATCCAAATTAGGCCAGACTATTTGGATTCTCCCAGTGGCTAGATAGGCTAAGGTAAACCACCAAAGCAGATTTTTTTTTATGATTTACAAATTCACAAATCCAAGGAGGTATTTTCTTAAGATTTTCTTTATAGGTCTTTAATGGCTTTGCAGATATCCAGCATGAACAAGGAATGGAAGTTGTCTTCCAATGTCTAGTTACCCTACTTTAAAACCCGCTGCCTTTAACATTCCTCAACTGCCCTTGCAGTTAGGTGTTCCCGTGTGCCTGAGTGTTGGCTCGTGAGATGTAGGGGTACCTGTGAGTGACTTCCTGGAAGTCTCTTCAAAGAAAAGCAGCATGCGTTGTTTATCTTATTCCTCCATCTTGCTGCCAAAGTTGTGGATATAACAGGAGCCCTTTCAAATATCCAAGAAGAGCAAGGTCAAACCCTAAGGAAAGCATGTTGGAGACTAAAAAAGATCTTGACTGTGTCACTACTTCAACTGCATTTTCCTGTATTTAAGCCATTGTAAATTTGGGTTTCCCTATATGAAGTCAAAACTAACCCATTCTGGCCCTTCAGTTCTTTGTCATGATACCATTTAGCACTGTTTGAATAAACTAGATTGCAATAATTCTTACCTTTAAAAGTTTTTAAAGGATAATGTGCAATTCACATTAGAATTGATTTTCCATTGTTAATTAATTGTACTCATTTTCTTGCCTTGACCTTTCATTAGGTATTTTGTATCTGCTTGGAAAATATTGTCTTCTTTATAACTGTGTAATAAATATTTGCTAAAACTCTGTAATCTCCAAAATATCGCTATCAAATTACATGCCATGTTTTTATATCATTCTCATAGATCTGCCTTATAAACATCTAAATAAAAAGTACTATTTAATGTGATTTAATTCCTTTTTTTGAAATGTTATATACAAATGGATTTTCTTTCTTACTGAATAATAATTCCAATATTTGATGGAAGCCACCTAATACTTTTCTGACTATTTCTTTTTAGAAGCATCCAGAAAGCCATGCAGGTAATAGTCTGGGGGTTGGGGGAGTTTTGTTTGTTTTTGCCAAAGCAGTCATTTAGAAAAACATCCATTTAATGAGATGGCATTGTTAAAAAGATTTCATTTCACTGGCATTCATTAAGTATATTTAAACCAGGACTCAACACAATATTCAAGCTATATCTGTAGGCTCCTGATAACAGGAACTCTGTCTTACTCACTACTACATTCCTATTGTTTCATGCAGTGTGGTCCCACAGATGCTAACAATATAATGACTGTTGCCTCATTTTTACAGAAAATTGTGTTACTTATCATCCCCCATCCATGCAGCTGTGCCTACATCCTCCAGCCTACTCCCCTCCCCATCACTGCCCCACCTCTTGCCTTGCCTCCTGGCCAGTGGCCCGGAGCTGCCCTGCGGTCCCAGAGTGGAGCTGCAGCCATTACTGCACCACCGTCATGCTGCTGCACTGAGGAGAAGAAACTGACCTTCGTGCCTGTGCACAGGATCTGTGGGGGCTTCAGCTCCCCCTGCAGCTGCCTGGAAATGCGTGGTTGTGAATATACTGAGAGTAGGGTTGCAGGGTAAAATTCAGCAAAATTTGAATTACAGGCAAACACAAATAACTTTTTCATGTAATTCTGTTAGACATATTGCATGGGAGTTTTTTTTCCCCCCTCTCAACAGGGGAACCCTATTTGGGGGGTGAGCTTTGACCACGGAGATGCAGCATGAGACCGAGCTGGTAGATAAATTCTTCCTTCATTTCCCGTTGGTGGACTGTTTCAAAGTGCAGTCATTCATAAGGCCTCCATGAAAATGCACTAAAAGACCAAGCAATTAACTGCACTTGTTTCAAAGCTCTGGCCAGCTCAGTGGCACCTATATTTGTGGTCCCTCCTCCACTGTCTGCCTCACTTCCATCTTTTCCTCACTTCTGCTTCCCAGAAATGGTGTCCCCCAATAAAGTGGCAGCAGGTGAATGTTTCTTCTTGTTTGTTTATGGCAGGCTTCAGGGAACCTAGGGCCAGCACAGTAATTTTGGTAGCGGATTCTTCAAAAGGAAAGTAAAACATGAAATAAATGATGATTTTCACAAAGTCAAGCACAGAGCCCTGCAGACTCAAAATCCAGATTGGCTGAGAGCCCTGAGTGGAAATGTCTCCCAGAGACAGATTCACGTTGATAAAGGTACAGTGATGGACTGTTAAATCAGAAAAGGAATTTATCACTACTGTGAGAAATATCAATGTCCTATAGGCTAGGATACCAGTATTGCCTTAACTAAACACATTCTATTCTTGAATCTGTTCTTTATAGAATTCAAATTATAATTCAAAGGATGTTGGGATCTATTATGGGCTGAATAGTATCCCCTTAAAATTCATGTTTAAGTCCTAACCCCTAGTACCTCTGACTATATTTGGAGAAAGGGCCTTTAAAGAGGTAAAATGAGGTCATATAGGTGGTCCCTAATCTAATAGGACTGATGTCCTTATAAGAAGAGGAGTTTAAGACATGGAAGACCATGTGATGACTAAGGGAGAGGATGGCCATCTACAAGTCAAGGAGACAGGCTTCTGAATGAAACCAATCTTGGACACCTTGATCTTGGACTGTCAGTCTCCAGACTGTGAGGAAATGAAATGTCTGTTGTGTAAGCCACCCAGTTTGTGGTATTTATTTCCAAAGCCCTCAAAAACTAACATGGAGTTCATGCAATCAGAACACATCAAGTGAGTTATAGAACTTGAATAATTAATGTCATTGGAATGAACTTGTCTGATTAATCCTGCTCCACAATAAGACAGTTCTCTCCTGGGGGTACTTTACTGTAACTTCCCACCATGTAAACACATTAAACGTTTTTAGTTCTAAAAGCTCAAGAACATTTTCAGTTCATGGAAATATTCCTATGTCATGAAACTGAAGCTTCGATCAGGTAAAAGTCACTCTTTATAAATTAATTTCACTATTATTGTTTATTTAGTTGCTCCACTAAACATGAATAGCCCCTCCAGCTTCCTATTTAAAAATTACCTAAAATTTGGATTATTAGTACACTTTTTATTAGAATGGTTGACTTCAGGGGTGGATGTTCTTTTGTCTTCTGTTCCATGTACTTATTACTCCCAAATTTGCATTGATGATTCTGTTAGAGAGATGTAATTGCTTTTGATTCTTTTTTTAGGCTTTGTTTCTGCAACAATCAACGTGAAGTATTTTTTAAAACACTTAAAGTAGATCAAATTCCAGCTTTTATGCACTTCTTCTGTTACATAATTCCTCTACACCTGACATACTAAGACTATACTATAATTACATTTCACATGTGCTATAAAAATTTTCTGTTTAAAATAAATTACTGTGACTTAGAAAGAATTAATGTTTACTTGAACATTTAGAACATCTGGCATTAGGTTAGTGACTACCAAATTCATATGTAACCTAAAATACTTATTAGAAACATTGTTAATTAATGCTAGTGAATAATTACAATTTTCCTAAATATTACTAATTAGGCATCAGGAGAAAATTAGAAGAATATTATTTCCTAATATTACATTTATGTTAAAATATATTTAGCCTTATTACTTTTAAAAGTAAAAATGGTGGATAGGTCAATATATTATGAAAACTGATGGTTAATCTTTAAATCTACAGCAGCTTTTTAAAAATTCCAATTTGTAATTTGTCAGAAATGTTAAATTCTGCTGAACTGTTACCAGATTGAAGCATTTCTAGTCTCTTTGTATAATTCATCTCATATGTTTCTCTACTATTAATTTATCTTTTTGCTGAAATAATTTTCCATTTCAATAGTCAGCCATTTTGCCCTTACATCCTTCTGTGTTTTGATGCCATAAAAATGTCTCCCATGCTCTTAACTTACAACCTTCAAAAATCTATATTACAGAAGGATCAATAAATAATGACTAAACTTAAATCCAACACCTAATTTAAGCAGGTAAAGCTTTTAAAAAGCTTAAGCTTGGTGCATTTAACAAGAAGGAAAATAAATACACCCAACAGTATCATCAGTAAGAAAACAAAGGATGTGGAAAATTCACAAAGTAAAAGCCAGTTTTATGTCAATTGCCAAAACAATGCTAATGAAAAACTACAACACCCACTAGAATAGTGCTTCTCAACTTTTAATGTGCATACCTATCACCTGGGAGTCCTGGGAAAATGGAGATTCTGATTCAGTAGGTCCACCTTGGGGCCAGAACTTCTGTGTTCCTAATAAGTCCCTAGGTAACACTTGTGTAGGTAGTTCAAGGACCCCACTTTGAGTAGCAAGAACTTAGTGTTTACCTTACTCTGGGTAACTTATGAAATGCTTTAACTTGGCTTCAACTCAAATAAAAAAGTAATCATTGAAATCTTTAATGAACATTTACTGAGTACCTAGTATAATCTAGACCAGAAGGTCCCAAGGTATGGTGGCCAGGCCAGAAGCATCAACATCACCCAGGAACTTGTTTACGGTCGACCCTTGAACAATGTGGGGTTAGGGGCACAGACCCTGGCTCGGTCGAAAATCCAGGTGTAACTTCACAGTCAGCCCAGTATCCACAGATTTGACCAACCAGATTGTGTGGGACTGTAGTATGTGTTGAAAAAGCTCTGTGTATAAGTGGACTCCTGCAATTCAAATCCGTGTTGTTCAAAGGTCAACTGTACATGCAAACCCTTGAACCCAACCCAGCCTTACTGAAGCCGACTCTGGATGTGGGGCTCAGGAGTCTCTTAATTAGCTCTCCAGATGATGCTGGTGCACACTAAGTTTTGAGAAACACTGCTCTAGATACTACACTGAAGGCTTGGGGTACAAACCTGAGTAAGTGACACTCCTTGCTTTCAAAAATCTCAGCCTAGCAGAAAATCTGCTGAGCCAGTAAATACCATTAGGTATATGGTGAGTACAAAAACAGAATGACAGACCAAGTGGCACCTAACATAGCAGAGGATGTAAAGAAGGTTTCCTAGAAAAGGTCACATAAGCTGAGTTTCATAGGGAGTTAGACCTCAAGACAGTAACATGTACAACATACGCAAAGGTAATGCAGAAAGAAGTTTGGCACCTGTGTAAAACCACAAGTAATTCAGTCAAGATGGCTTGAGTGTGGGGTGTTTGAGGACTTCCATCCTAGTTGCTTCTCACCTGTCACAGAATAAAACAAAAAACTATTAGAGCTAAATTTTTTTTATAAAGTTAGATCTATTAACTTCTCAGGTAAGGGAACTCATTCCATGAAGAATTTCACTGATTCCACTGATGGGGAAAAGCCAGAAAATTTTAAGAGCTGGTAAGGGGGAGTTCATGGGAGTTGTACTAATTAAGCATGGGAAACTGGTACCCTGGATATGAGACAGAATGAATATGTAGGTCTGTACACAATTGGTAAAAGTGAAAAAAAAAACAAAACCCTGTTGTTCATTTGTTAGGAAAGTGTCTTCCGTTAAGTTCAGCGAGGACTTTTCAGGGTCACTGAGGTTGATGAATCATTATCAGCTTCAGCCTATTGTGCTAAATTACAAAAGCCAGTTGATATCTGTTGGGCAAACTCTGTTTTAAGCAGAATATTTTCCTTGGTAATCCCTCCTCTTCATCCTTTCTTATCTTGAGATGCCAGGATGAGCACACAAAGGAGAGCAAATCAGCCGACTATCAGCTTTTCAAACCCCATCTTGGGTTCGGGTGCCATCCTCACAGGATTCCACTGTGATTATACAAATGGTTTCAGTCTCCCTTTCATGTAGTGTACTTGGAATGTGCAACAGCAATTAAAGTTATGTTAATAATATACTTGACACACCCTTTGCACTTTCAGGGTAATTGCAACCTTAGACCTACTGAACCACCTCTAGGTGTAAAGCCTAATGGGAGCTCTAAAACCACCAGTAAGTAGCTGTAAAGATAAAACACAAAAACAAAAAGAATGCTGAACTCCAAGCCAGAGAGTTTCAAGAAGGAGAGAGTGGTCAACAGGGTAAAATACTACAGACATGTAAACCAAAATTAGGACAGAAATTGCCCGGAGACTTTGACCACAGTGTTGGTGACCTCATTCAGGGCAGTTTCAGAGGACTGGGGTTGAGGAAAGCGTAAGAATGAACAGAATCGAGGAAATAGGGACTGGAAGCTTTCAGCACTCATTCAAAGAAGTTTGGCGGCTTTGGCGATGATTTACATAAAGTGCTGCCAAGCGGAAACTAGGTTTTCATTTCATTTATAGGCCCAGAAATGTCATTCAGATAATCTTGCTTGTTATGTGCCAAGCACCACTTTACAAAACTATCATCTCATTCAGTCCTCTCACAGCATTCCTACCGACAAGAAGAATGAAAAAATTATGAGAAAAGTGGGGCTTCCTGGGGTTAACTTTCTCTAGATACAGTGATTTGACTCAAAAGCCTTCTAACACTGTGTACAATGCCTTGGTGATTACTTAACTGTCTGGAAAGGACACTAGAGTACAGATGAGGTAAAAGGCTGGGTAATGTCGCTGATACTGATCACTTCTCTGAGGTGAGATAAACTGCTCTGCTCCCAACACTGAGTCCGTCATCCATCATTCCTGCATCCCCATTCCTGCATCCCACGTTTATCCCTCATCCCTCCACCGACTCATGCTTGTTTTAAGAAGGACCAGCGCAAACTACCAAGACTGAGACACACAGGGCCCCAAGGTAACACTCCACGGCCAAACACTGAGGTCTTCACCTGCTTCCTTCTGGCGTGCCGGCAAATTCCGCCACTCCGAATTTAGAGGTGCAGAGATTAGGGTTTGGGGTAGTTTGGATCCCCGGGCTTCCGTAGGAGCAGGCGCTTCCGTCGCCTCCGGCCCCGCCCTTAGCAACGCGTTGGCTTGTTAACAACCGGTCGGCCAGCAGGCGCCGAGGTGCACTGGTGGGCTGCAGCCGCGCCGGGCGAGTGGCATCGCGGTGGACCCTGCCACAGCAGTATCCCCGAGGCCTTTGGCGACTCTAGCGGCTCTCAGGCGGCCTTCATTTCTCTGTGGCGAGGCCTCTTTGGGTCCCCACCTGTAGGGGGTACAGTGTAGGACAGGAGAACCCCCTCCATCCCTCACTCCACCGCCACAGCCATGTCAACGGCCGAGGCCGCGGCAACGGCCGAAGCCCGGGAACCCGGCACCAGGATCAAGTCCAGCAGCCCTCGCCAAATCCCGGCAGTCGGGGTGGTGACGCAGGACGAGGAAGCGCAGGTATGGGCCGGGTGTCTGAGCTTTGGAGGGTTTAAAGGCGGGGCGGCGGGTTAGATCTGGGGGCGGGGATGAGGCCTGGGGAGAGCAGGGGCGGAAATGGGGGCCCGAGGGGAGCCCGCGGGACAGAGGTTCCTTGCGCGAAGCTGATCCCTTCGAGAACTAAGCCACCTGCGAGGGGGGTCGGCTGTCGTCAACCAACCTGTCTGGGGACTCTCTTGTCTCGAGGTCCTCCCGAAGCGTACCAGTAAACTAGGCGAGGTTTTGCGGCTTTTCTTCATAAAATGTGACCACGAAGGGCCTGGGAGCGAAGGAAACATTCACAGCGAGAATTTAGATTTGATGACCACTTTGCACTCGGCTTTTATATGTAGATCCCTGTTACCGTGTGCTGCTCTTGATACAGGTGTAAATTCTCCCGTGTTTAAATGCGCTGTTACCAAAACCTGCACCTGGAGGACAGGACAACGCTGTTAAAATTAGAAATTAAACGTCATTTTTATATGAAATTGGAAGCTGGTTACGAGTATATCGGAGAGAATTGAGAGAGAATAGAATTTATTTATTTTATTGTGCTTGTATTTGGTTTTGAGTTTACTTTTTGTCATGAATACAGAACTAATTCTTTCGAGGGGGTTTGCTGAGAAATTTCACATTAAACACTGGCTTAGATCGCCATTCCTGGCATGGGGGGTCTAGAAACTTCAAGGGGTTTGTTTCATACTGGGGTTCCATTGCTCCTCCTCAGAGAGCCATGATCAAGCCCTAAATTAACGTGAATTCTGTGGAGAAATCCTCTCCTACCTCTTCACACTGATGGCGTGAGGCAGCCATTGGAATTCCTGTTGAGGCTTCTCAAGTCTCAGGCTGCGTCAGAAGCCCTGTCTCCTGCGTCCACATTCTGGAGCCTTGGAGAGTTCCTTGGAAGTGGCCAGTTGACTGGGGACCTTTTCTACTGTGGGAATAGAATCAAGCTCTCTTAAGGTGGCCAGACACTTCACCTAAAGAGCAACAGCACTTTTGCATGAGGAGGAGCAGGTGTTAGGGGAACTGGGTTTGTGGAAGTATTCCAATCTGGGCAGGGAGAAGAATTTTGAGAAACAGCAGCTCTTCCTTCACTCCCAAGGCTGCAAGGGGGCTCAACACTACAGCTGTTCTTCCAGGCACTGGGCAAAACTGAGAAGTAGGTGAATCTAGTATCTGACAGCTCTCATTCTTTCTTTACTTAGTATAAATAATAGGGGTGGGAGCAAGGTTATATGAGGCAGGCAAGCTTGGGTTAAAAAGAAAAAAGGGGAAATACTTTTAATAGGCCATTGCTAAAATAGTCTACAACATGTCAACTAAAGCAGAACAAGTATACCCGTGTATTTGTGTGTGTGTTTTCTCCCTTCCCTTTGTTTTTTCCTTTTCTTTTACAACCTCTCCTTACAGGGCCTAAGATTCTCCTCTAGGAAGAAATCAATTTGTATTAATTAAAACCCTACCCTGTTAATAACTACTTGTAGGATTATTAACATTGCTTAAAGTAGTGAAGAAAAAGGCAGTTTCTACCAAAAGAAATAGAATGAAGACATTTTAGAGTTGGGAGACATGATCACTTAGCCTTCCTGGTTTTTGTTTGTGGTTGTTTTTACAAATAAGAGCCTAAGGCCATGAGAAGTTAACTGAGAGTTACTCCATTTCTTTTCTGGGAGTGGGGTCTAGTGCTCTTTGTCATTTAAACTGATAACCTTTTAGACCTCTGCCTTGGAATTCTAAATGTTTCCTAATCTTTTCAAACCATTCCATATTTGCATCCTCCTCTGCCTACAGAGACAGTACAGTATATCCTAGTAGCGAAAGGTAAGAATGTGGGGTCTACCTTAGTTCATTAAACCAGCTGCCTCACATGCTTGACATCACAAAGTGTTCACCTTTCATCTCTTTCCTGTTTATTTTCACATGGTTCCTCTCATTCTAAAGAAGCAGAAGCCTTTAGAGCAATGGTTATTCAAACCTTAATGTGCATTTGGAGCCCCTGGGGAACTTACTAAAATACAGATTCTGATTCTGTAGGTCTCAGGAGGAGCCCTGGATTCTGCTTTTCTAACAAGTTTTTGGGTGATGCCATTGCTACTGGTTAGAGGTCCTGGTTTCCCACTCTGAGTAGAAACACTTAATAGCCTTATAGCTGCAGTATGGTATGAACAGTGTGACAGGGTTTCACAGCAGCTAACTCCTGGAAAGCTATAGGAGATGGACTCAGATTACAAAACAAAGTAAACAATAACAACAACAATAAAACAAAATTCCTACCCTCCCCCTGCCAGGTCAGATGATGTGGTACCAAATGAGGCTTTAAAAGAACTACTTGCTCTCCTTTCCTGTCACCACAAGGCCTCAGTCAATCCTGGATTAATGTTACATCCTTGGGTCCATCACTTCCTCTCTTCCTATTCTGTTCTCCATAAACACTTCATCTTCTTTCCTCCGAGTCCCACCTGTTCTTTCTTTCAGATTTTCACAGTAGCTCCTTATTGCTTCCTTCACCTAAGTCATTACAGTGACCAAATCATTCAGCCTCTCTAGGCCTGTTCCCTTTTCTATAAAATGAGCCTGTACTAGACAAGTATTCCCCAAATGTGGGTGACCATCACAGTCATCTGAGGAGCTTTTTATAACCAATGTACATAGTTGGGCCCTACCCTAGATTTACTTAGTCATAATCCCAGGTGTGGAAGCTGGGATTCCTAAAAGGCTCCCTCAAGTGATTTTTAGCCTCAGAACCATTGAACTGATGATATCTAAGATCTCTGCCATCCCCAGATTGCCTCAGGTCTGCTTCTCTGTCCTGTTTTCAGGGTTTCCCAATGCATAATCTGTCTTTTCTCTGTACTGTGTACTCTGCTTAGTGCCATCTCTGTGGGGGCAGAAAACCCTCTCTTATTTTTTTTTCTGTTGTGTACCCCACAATCCCCCAGTATTCCCCAGTAGCACCCAATACAATACCTGGTACACAGGAGGTAATATTAAATATTACACCCTCCTCTCTTATGAATTTAAATCTTACCCTACTTTCAGATCCCACCTCTCTAAAGTATCCCCCGATAGGAAGCACTTCTCATTTTCACCCTCACAGAACTTCTCATAAATGGATATAGTCCTCCAACTGAGTCACACAGTTTCTCACCTAATTATCACTTGTTTTATGTCTGTTACTATTTAATTTGTCTTGTTTTGTCTCTCCCACTAGAGTATGGATTCCTTAAGTGTAGGACATATATCTTTAAACTCGAGTGTCCTTCCTGCCTCAACTCTGATCTCAGAGTAGAAATTTAAGTCCTCAAGTACCTTACAAAGCCACTTGTGTTCCAGCCACACTAGCCTCCTGGCTTCTCCCCTACCATGCCAGGTGTACCCTGCCTGAGGGCCTTTGCACTTGCTATGCCCACTGCCTGGAATTTTGCCTCTTGATGTCCATGGCTTGTTCCCTTACCTCCTTCATGACTTTGCTGAAATGTTACCCACTTTGTGAGTCTTTTGCTGACCACTGCTTGAGCATCCTAGCACTTTCTACGCCTGTTTCTCCCGAGTATTATCTTGCAGGACAATATATAACTTATTGTCTCCCCTAAAGCATATTAATTCTTCATGAAAACAGGAAATTTTATGTGTTTTATTCAATACCATATCTTTAGTGCTTAGAACAATGGCACAGTAGAGGCACACAATAATATTTGTAGAGTAAATATATGATTTGACTAGCTCACTTGCTTAGGTATCATGGCTGAGATTCCATGCCCAAATTTGCTTTCCCTCTGAGAACCTCCACAACCCACTAGCTGATGTCATATCCTGCCGCTGTCTGTAATACTGCCATGTACTGTGTCCTTAAAATTGACTACCCCTGTTTTGGAGTAATTGTTAGAAGTAATCTTTGTGGTCAGTTGAGGAGTGAGGCAGAGGACTAAGGTGCAAAGAACCAGTGTTCCTGCATCAGGCGGCCCTGTGAGCCCACTTACCAGCTCTGTGACCTTAACAAGTTAGATCTCAAGGCCCCAGTTTAATCAACAGGAATAATAATTCTACTTGCATATGGTAGGTTTGGGGATTGATTAAGATATAAAGTACCAGACATAAAAACAGACCACAATAAATGTTAGTTCCTTTCCCTATAACTAAGTATCAGCTAAGCAGGATTTTTCCCCTTTGAAATGTTCCTTGGTAAAGTGGGAAAATTAGTTCATCTTATAACTTGAAGTCGGGGTCTAATTTTCTTCAAAGTACTGTATTAAGCTTTTGATCTTAAAAGGTTTGTTAAATGGTTTTACGGTTTCTCCATAAACATCTTGTAATAACAGCAATTACTTTTATGTTTATATTTGTATGTTCTCTTTTGCTTCTACACCTGCCTGTGTGATCTCATTTACTAGACTGTTCCAATTATTACTTTAAGCCTGTGATTTAGAAATCTCTGCCCCCAATTTAACTCATCTGCAGCCTCGACACCAGCCTCTTCCTCCAGCATTCCCCATCTCAGCAAATGGTGCCACCAGTTACATCATTCCTCGAGCCAGCCAATCATCCTTACCTTCTCCTTCTCTTTCCCACCAAATCAAATCACTCATTAAGTCCTGGTGACTCTGCCTCCTTGATGCTTTTCATTCCATTCATTGTTGTCTATCCCAGTGGACATTTCCTTACTTGAGGCCTGAAGTTACAGACTGGTCTTCCACCTCCAGTCTAGATTTTCCCAACTCAGTTTACTCAGCAGACAGAATGATTTGTTTATTGTTACGTTTCTCTGGCTAAACCCTGTGGAAATCAACAAAGATCATCCTAATGAGAACAAACAGGGGCTATTTACTCAACACTTGCTATAGAAAGTCAGCTAGCATTACATGCATTTGGCAGAGACTCCAAGGCAGGCAGGAAAGTGTCACAGTGAGTAAAGAGAAGGCTTCTGGTTTGCTCTGGTTGGAGGCTGCTGCCAGGGGAAGCTGGAAGTGAGCTAGCTAGAAGCAGGACATCCTGTGTGATTCATTTGGCTTTTTCTGGTTGGCCCTAAGTAGCAAATGGGAGGAGGAGGGGAAGTACAGGGAATCTGATAATCATTGACCAGATCCTGACTTTTCTGAGCCACTTGCTGCAGAAGTTGTGGTTTGGCTCCCGAGGTTGATTGCTGCAGAGGTTGTAGGACAGAGTTCTGTTGCCAGATATAGTCTGGCCATTGTCCGTTTATATGTCCAGTCTCTCAAGCCATTCAATAGCTTCCAACCATCCTTAGCATACTATACATTTCTGTAAAATGGGGTTAATAACAGTACCTACCTCATAGAATTCAGTTAGTAAATACATGTAAAGTGCTTACAGCTATCTTGGAAATAGACATTGACTACTAAGTTTTAGCTATCACCATCATTGTTATTACCATCGTTATTATTATTTACCATTTGACCTCTACTTACCTTGTCAGCATCATCTGTAGCCACTATCCCCTGCACTATCCTCTCCAACATATTGAGTGACTCACCAGTCCTCTTAATGCCATGTGTTCTCTTGCTTTCAGGCCTTCACATAAGCTACTCCCTTTGCTCCATCTGTGAAACCTTCAGTTCATCTCACAAAACCTACTCAGCCCTACCTCTGCCTGCAGATTATTTCTTCCAGAAGTTGTCCCAGATTCCCATCCCTTTTCCTCATGCCATTCTGTCCCTCTTCTATATGGTTCCAGAGTAGACTTCTCAACATTCATGGAGAGTCTTGTATGTGGTCTATATTACCTGCATCTCATGCCAGACTGATAGATACTTGAAGTCAGGGCAATGTGTTCCCCATACCTAACAGTTTCTGAAATGTAGAAGCTGCTTATAGATGTTTATAGAAGGAGAAAAAGGCTAAGGGAGGGAGGGAGAGAGGGAGAAATCTTAAAAATATAACATATGCCAAGCAAGTAAAACAAAGAGTAACATGAAGTGGTAATACAAGATAAATCTAAAAATAATCTATGCTTTAATTTTTACTACTCTGTTTCTTATAAAAGTTGTATCTGATCATTTGGGGGAAAATTCTCATACTACATGCAGGTATTAAAAAGAAACTCCTGCACTGACATGTCATTTTTATGTCTTTTCCAACTCACAAAGCCAGTATCACAGAAAATCAGAAAATAAAAACAAACTATATATATTTATTTCTCTGAGAAAACAGGGAGAAAAAAGACAACTGAGGCAGTGGCAGACGGCACTGTTAAATCCCCAGATCTCAAAAGGCAAAATTCTATTTATCAAAAAATTGTGTAACAGTAAATTTAATAATTTAAATAATTTAACAGTAAAATGTAATAATTTTAATGGTAATTGTAATACCAAGTATAGACAATTATATAGTAAATCCTTTTGATTGTTAATATTTTCAGTAAAAGTCACTTTGAGTAAATAAATTCATTCAGATAGTTTTCTGCAGACTTAATGTTAGAACACTTAACTGAAAATTGGTTTTGAAAGAGATTTCTTGAGATAGAATATATAAGTTTGCAATTGTGAAAGGAAATTCTAGACCTAAGGCAATGGATAATGGCTATGTCAAAATATGGAAAGCTACATATTATGGATTTGAAAATCAGAAAATATAATGGTGTTAACAATAAGTGAAATTATATAAAGTATTTATACATGTAAACAAAACAGAAAATAAAATATAAATATATAAAATAAACATAAAATTAAAATAAAAATATAAAAAATATATAATAAAAATAGAAGTATTTAGATAAGAATAAGATTTTTTCTTTTTGAATAATTTTATATAACCATTACATCATCTTTTCAGTCATTTTAAAATAGAAATAAGTATAAAAGCAGGACAAACGGGAAGAAGGTAACAAGTTTGGGATAGCTTAACTCATATAACAGGAGTAAAGAATATTGATGTGACATTTTAATTAAAAAGAAAATGTCATGCAACAAAGCATTAACCCTCAAGATAAACACAGCCAAATCTGCACTTAGAATTTGCAGACTTCTGTATCATCATAAGTACTTAAACTTTGGATGATAACACCTCCTGTTTTCTTCCCCATTTACCTACAAATAACTACATGTCAGGCCCAGTGTTTGGTGTCAGGGGTGCCAGAAAACAAAAGTCTGCCCTCAAGTGAGGTAGGGTATGGTAGGAGATAAATGCGTAAACCATTTTAGAACAAGGTGATGGGAACTGTAATGGTTATAGGCTCAGGGTGCCATGGGAGCACAAAGGAGGGACATTTGTTGTATCCTTTTTCATCCCTTGGGGAGGTGACACCTGAGCTGTGTCTTAAAGGACCTGTGGGATTTAACTGAGGAGAGGAACAGGACTGTAATAACATAAATGGAAACACAGGAGGGGGGTGAGGGGCATTAGTGGAGAGTCAATGAATGGTTTAGATGTGTTATGTTCAGATTTGCATTTCATCGTTTCATTGACCAGAGGGTAGAGGACAATGTTGAAGAGTGCAATAGTAGAGGCAGAGAGAACAGCAGGAAATCATAACTGAGTGAGAGATGAGAACTGAATAAATCAGTATGATGGAATGAGCTCAAGAAATATTTAAGATATAAAATCCATAGAACTTGGTGGTTCCTGTTTTCTAATATGTATGACGGTAAGACTGCTGGGAGAAGGAATACCTAGTTCAGGAAGGTGATCTCCTACCTGTGGTTTAGAAGCTAGTCTTACGTATATCTGCATAGGCAAACTCAGTGTAATGTGTATGCGTGAGATCATTTTCTTTTCTAAAGCCTGGAAGTGCTGCTATTCCAGATGCTCTCTTGGGCCTTTCACTAATGAAATTTAGACATTAAGATTTTAAGATTATACTAGAATTCAAGAGGTGTTTTTTTTTACTGCAAAATTCATTTATTCCTATAATTCTCATCTACTTTTCATTCTCCCCTATCTTTTTCTCATATTTTTAAGTTGCCAAGGGATAATATAATATAAAAATAGTATGTTTGGTGGGATTTCTAGATTCTTATTATATAGAATACTATGAGTTGTATGTTTTTTTAGGGTGTTTTCACGTCTATGGACCTAAATCGTGTCATCAAACTCCTTGAAGAGACTGAAAAAGTAAGCTTTAAGAGAAAATTTCTCTGCTGTTTCACTTATAGACTATAATTTTCCTGAAAGTTAACATGTGTTTCCCTAAATATAAGTCTCATTTTTCTCTCTTTGTTGAAAACATTTCAAATAGTATATGTCTTATATTGAAAGACTATTTAAATTTATTAGGAATATATTTAACCTGGTAGGGAGGCTGGAAAAGAATAGATTTCGTTTTGTGGGATGGACAAATCCATGATGTAAACAGAAGGAATCATAAGAGTAAAGAAAGACTCATCTAGCCTGTTAGGGTGCAAGGGTAGAAAAAAGTATATCATGATGTAGTGCTTAGTTTTCTGATGTGAAATCAGGATATATACACACTCATACATAGTCATAGGTAATTTATTTTGAGAGAACTCTTATACAGAATGTAATGGAAATAAAGATACAAGACTCAAAGTTGAGAGTTTAGGCATCAGGAGAAAGGATAATAAATGCATCTGCATGCATGTTTATACCACACTCTCCTGATGTTACCCAAGAATTGACTGATTGCCTAAAAAGCCAGGACACACTACAAAGTTACTATAGGATGAAGACTGCATACTTTCAGAAGGCAGGAATAGGCTGACCACGGTAGAGCTGATCAAAACAAAACAATGTCCTGTGGTTAGCATGCATAGAAATATAGTCACTATCTTAACATTTATTAGAATCTGTACTTTTTTAAAAAAGGAAACCCAACTACGTAGAGTTCCTTCTTGCTGTTAAACAAGGGTAGACAAAATATGTGTATTATATATACTTTTGATATATATAGAAAATGCCACAGCTTCTCACAATTTAAGAAGGTTTAAAGGACAGAAGTGATTCTGTCAATGAAAACATATCACTGTATAGAGTTTTGTTTTACTTTGTTTTAATTGGCTGAAGATGTTTGGTGCAAGCTATTACACCGAGCATACTTTAGAGGTTAAAAGTACAATTTCTGGAGTCAGACTGCCAAATTTGACTCCTAACAGTATCATTTACTAGCTGTGTGATCTTGGACAATGACTTAGTGTTTCAACTAGAGTTTCCTATTCTAGAAAAGAGGGATAAGAGGTACCTTCCTAATAGGGTTGCTATGAAGATTAATGAAATGATTGGCATATACAGTGCCTAAATGGTACACAGCATACAAAAATGCTCAACACTCTTCAGGTATTGTTAATATTATTTCTGGAAACAATTACTGCTTTTATATTAACCTCATTTTGAGTCTCAATTTCCTATTCAAATGTAAATGGTAATTTATTTTTACCTTTACTATTTCAGGAAACATTTTGTAATGCCTATATTATAATTTACTAATTTAAGAATTACTTAATAATATGTTTGCTTTCTTTTTATATTAAGGAAAATTTTAAAAAATCTCAACAGAATTAATAGCACAAAAGACCTAAAATAGATCATTTGTTTTAGGATGATTTAGAAGAAAAACAACTTAAGTCTGTCAAGAAAGTGGTGCAGTGTTATCAGAATGGACTTGTATCCTTTATTTATATGTGTTTCATTTATCCTGAAATGGGAGAATTTTTATTAGAAAATACACTAGTTTCTTATTGCTGCTGTAACAAATTACCACAAACAGTGCCTTAAAACAACATAAATTTTTGGTTTCATAGTTTTATATGGATTTGTTAGGTCAGTTAGTTACCTGAGGGCATGTGGATATCAAGCACTGTTTA